AGTCACGGCACCATTATGTCGCTCCCCCTCTTCATGGAGGAACGACACTAAACCCTGCCTAGGCTTCATATCCGAGTCACGGCACCATTATGTCGCTCCCCGTCTTCGTGGGGGAACGACACTAAACCCTGCCTAGGCTTCATATCCGAGTCACGGCACCATTATGTCGCTCCCCCTCTTCGTGGAGGAACGACACAGAACCCTGCGCTGTTCTTCTGTCTGCTCGGCCCTCCCCGGGTTTGCTGCTGGTTCTTCCCGGGTTGGCTGCTATCCCTTCCACCTCCGTGGAAGGGCGGTTCCCCCTGGCCACTTTCCCCACTTCCACAGGGGAGCGGCACACCGCCAGCCGGCTTTCTCGGGGGCTGCACAGGTGTTCCCCTTAGATGTTCCCCTTAGATGTTCCCTGGTGCATGCCGTCTCTCTCCTCCTTTATAGTCCTCCTCTGCCAATCCCAACTCGGCTGCCCACACGCCGAGTACGCTGCTCTCCTCCAATCAGGAGCAGGTCCTGCTGTTTATTGGCTGAACTGGAGGCAGCTGGGTAGAAGCTGTTTACTTCTCTCCCAGCGCCTTATTGTGGGAGAGCAGATGCATAGAATAAGTCTTAATTCCAGTAACTTAGTCTAGTCCGAGCTGCTCCCCACACCCTCCCACCTACAGTCAGCAGGTGAGCAGGGGCCAAGTGTCAGTTACACCTGTTTTTAGACATCTGCAGCCTAGGCTGCCTCATGTGCACAATGGCCAGACTGAGTGAGCCTCGGCAATGGAACCATGGTAAGTCTCAGAGAGCTAAATACCCCTGAAGCTTACTCAGTGAGTCCTCTGGAAGACTTTAGCATTGAAAGTGGGTTTGGGGGCCGGGGCCATGGCTCACTTGGTTAATCCTCCGCCTGTGGTGCTGCCATCCCATATGGGCACTGGGTTCTAGTCCCGGCTGCTCCTCTTCCAGTCCAGCTCTCTGCTATGACCCGGGAGGGCAGTGGAGGATGGCCCAAGTGCTTGGGCCCTGCACCCGCATGGGAGACCAGGAAGATACTCCTGGCTCCTGGCTTCGGATCAACGCAGCGCCAGCCATAGTGGCCATTTTGGGGAGTGAACCAATGGAAGGAAGTCCTTTCTCTCTGTCTCTTTCTCTCTCACTGTCTAACTCTATCTGTCAAATAAAAAATAAAATAAATAAAATCAAATCAAAAAAAGAAAAAAAAAAAGAAAGTGGGTTTTGAGGGGCGGTGCTGTGGCATAGTGGGGAAAGCCATGGCCTGCAGTGTTAGCATTCCACATGGGTGCCGGTTCAAGTCCCAGCTGTTCCACTTCCGATCCAGCTCTCTGCTATGGCCTGGGAAAGCACAGAAGATGGTCCAAGTCCTTGGGCCCCTGCACCCCTGTGGGAGACCTGGAAGAAGCTCCTGGTTCTGGCTGTTGCAGCCATTTGGGGGGAATGAACCAGCAGATGGAAGATCTCTCCCCCCTCCCAACCCTGTAACTCTGCCTTTCAAATAAAATAACAAAATCTTTAAAAAATGGGTTTTGTCTAGATGTGTTATCTTTTTTTTTTTTTTTTTTTAATACATATACAGACTACCTCACTGGAACTGAAGACGAGTTTTACTTTTCCCATTTCTGGAGTTCGTTCACACCCATTTCTTAGTCCTTTGAAACTTAAAAGCAGCCACTGCAGACCCTTCGCGGCCCATCTCACACTGTTTCCTACCGACTCCCCCTCACCTCCGTCGCTGGCAAGAACGCCCTCTTCCCTCGGCCCTGGCAGGTTGTGGGTCTGGTTCCCATCACCTACAGGATCTTCATTCTGGCAACTTACTACTATTTATATCACAGGCATTTGCACCACGCATATTCCAAAGAGCAAAAAGAAAAAGAAAAAAAAAAAAAAAGGAACCCTCCGGACACAAGCTGTCAGTGCACAGTAGCCGAAGCATGGCCAGACCAGGTCATGCTGTGTTTCTCCCCCGAGGGCCACTGGCTTGTGACCAAGTGGTTCCTAATGTCAATTAGGTGAGAGACTCAGATACCGCTCACAGGCGAAGTGAGAGCCTTTGATATGAAAGGACACTCAGGGAGACATCCAGGAGAGCGGAGACAGGTTCCCACTGTTCCAGCCCAGGCAGACCTCTCGCAGTCTTGCTCCAAACCGGCCAAGTTCCCTCTGCTTCGCCTGCAGCCAGGCTGAGCTGAGGGGTGTGTGCACTCTGCCCTTGGAGGCTGTGACCCAAGACATCTGACATTGTTCACACACAGGACACCTCTGCGGAGGAGCCCAAGAAGTCTTTTCTATTTTTAAGGTTTATTTTATTCATTTGAAGGCAGAGTTAGAGAGAGACAGATAGAGTGATCTTCCATCTGTTGGTTCACTCCCCACATGGCTGCAACTGCAGGAGGATGGGCCAGGCTGAAGCCAGAAGTCAGGAGCTTCTTCCAGGTCTTCCACGTGGGTGCAGGGGCCTAAAGACTTGGGCCATCTGCTACTGCTTTCCCAGGCCACAGCAGAGAGCTGGATCAGAAGTGGAGCAGCCGGGACAAGAACCGGCACCCATATGGGATGCCAGCATTGCAGGTGACAGCTTAACCTGCTGCGCCACAACACCGCCCCCTCCCCCCAAGGAGTCTTATCTTAAAAGGCTGGCTTATCTCTGGCAGGTGTGCCGCAGGAGTTTCCAATCACGGGATGAAGCTTGATCCAGTCACCATCCACAGCTCCGGGCAGTGCTGATCACACAGGAGTCTGCCCAGCTCCTGTACAGCTCTGGTTTTCAATGACGCACCATTTGCAAACTTAAAAAGCCAAGGGGTAGACATCTGACGTGGCAGCTAAGACAGCACGTGGGGTGCCTGCACCCCATATCAGAGCACCTGAATTCAAGTCCCAGGTCTGCTTCCACTCCAGCTTCCTCCTATTGCATACCCCGGGAGGCAGCAGGTGATGGCTCAGAGATGGGTCCCTGCCACCCACACAGGAGACCCAGACGGAGTTCTGAGCCCCTGGCTTTGACATGGCCCAGCCCTGGCTGTTGCAGGCATTTGGGGAATGAACCAGCAGGTGGGAGATTGTGTGTCTGTGCCTGTATGAGAGACAGGCAGAGACAATGTCTTTCAAATAAACTGTTTTTTAAAATGGAAACATTTTACGTAATGGTTGGTTGCATTTCTGATGCCTCCCTAAACAGGAAACTTCACAATTTGGAATCCATCCTCGAGAATTTGAAAGTAGCTGCCGCAGGGGCCCGCACTGTGGCATAGTGGGTAAAGCCGCCAACTGCGGCGCCAGCATCCCATAAGGGCACCAGTTCACGTCCTGGCTGCTCCACTTCCGATCCAGCTCTCTGCTGTGTCCTGGGAAAGCAGTGGAGGATGGCCCAAGTCTTTGGGCCCCTGCACCCATGTGGGAGACCCGGAAGAAGCTCCTGGCTCCTGGCTTCTGATAGGCACAGCTCTGGCCGTGAGACCATCTGGAGAGTGAACCAGCAGGTGGAAGACCTCTCTCTCTCTGCCTCTCACTGTGTAACCCTGACTTTCAAATGAATAAATAATCTTCAAAAAAAAAAAAAAAAGAAAAGAAAGAAAGAAAGTAGCTACAGCAGCCCCTTCATGTCCCACCTCACTTTTCCTTTCCTAACACAAGTGCACTGTTTCCTGCAGACTTGGCTGCACCCAGACAGGGGCAGGGGACACTGCTCCTTCCCAGGACCCCAGGACCCCGGGCCCCTGATGGCTGGTTCTCAACGTCTCCCTTCTTAACCGAGTCGTCCCTGAGATGGCGCTGCTGTCTCCCCCGCCTCCCCAGGTCGGCCGCCGGCCACCCTCCTCACAGGCCTCTCCCAGCTGCTACTCAGGGAGCTGAGCGGCTTCATCTGCTGTTTTCTGGGCAACAGGCAAGAGGCGGCCACTGGAAGGTGTGTGTGCCCCAGGGTCACAGGTTTGTCACGTGGAAGCCCAAGCCCTGGTTTTTCAGATGAGGAAATGCAGGCTTGGCTTGGCTGGGGGTGGGGGTGGGGGGCAGGAAAGACAAGGGATGCCTGTTTGGGTAACAGGTGGAGGCGCAGCGGCCAGCATGGGGAGCTGCAGGTCACCCACGCTTCTGCAGCCTTGAACCGGGATCCCAATGGTGACGTGCCATGAGCTCAATACACACACATTGGGTTTCTAAGACTCGGGATAAAATGGCATGTAGAATGGAGATTTCTGTCGATTATAAGTTAAAGATGCAAACATGCATGAATAGAGTCTATAATTAAAGTCGAGCTTGCATGTTTTTTACTTCTTTTCAGAGAGTCCCTAGAAAACTCGAAGTGACCTGGATGGCTCACGTTCTGTTTCTACTGCACGCGGCCGTGTCAGAACAAAGCCCACCATCGCGATGCCAGGGTATTACTTTGATTGTCACCTCTTTCTTGAAAAGGAAAAAAGTCATGACACAGAGCAGACAAAGCACAGGAAAGGATCAAAGGCTTTGCTGCTATTTATGATCCTGGTGTTACCCCGCAGCCCTTCTGCGTTTATAAACACCTGGCTCCAGCGTCTAACGTCCCAGCGTTCCCTCTGCCGACCTGGAGTGGCCACCACCGGCTGGCTCCCGCTATGCACAGCCAGTCAACACAAGTCCCGCTTCCCCGTTTGCTCTCTGGTCAGTTTTCATCATCCAAATGACCTGTGATCTAACTATGATTTTTAAATTCAAGAATTCAGACAAACGTTCATTCCACAGCAAACTGGAGCTGCCTCTGCAAAGCATAACAAATCCCAGGAAATTATTTTAGGAACTGCTGCTGTTAGCTCACGCCATGGAAACTGTGTCTGCGAAGCACTCCCAAGTTTCCTATCAAAAGGGGTGTGGGAAGACCCCCATACAGTGAGCACCATGTGATTTTCCGAGTCCTTTTGCAAGGTGCAGGTGACCTTGGACCACCAGTGATGCGAGTGAGGTGTGAGCCACGCCGTGCAGAGCGCCATCCGGGAGGGGGGTTGGTCCCCAAGCCTTCCACCTACCTTTGTACTTTTCTGTCTGAGCGCTCAGGAGCTCTGCACATTTGGTTTCTTCCTCCTGTATTTCCAGATGAAACCGGCATTCTGGGTGAATGCTGCTTACCTGTTCAAGGTGAAAAGAAAGGAAATCAGCGAAACTTCTGCCATAAACGTCAGGCAGAGGTTCTCCCAGTAGCACCGGAGCGCGCACAGTTCTAAACTGCTTCCGAACTAAAGTGCCCAGCGTGGTCACTAACAACAGCTCTGCCATTTACTTCACAAAATTCTACAACCCAATAATAACTATTCTCTAAGAAAGAAAAGGAACTTACTACCATAACCCCGCTGTATGCTGTTAGTACTAACTGGGAGGCAACACAACTCTGTAATCCAATAATCGCTCCATGTTCTTCACAGCCCTGGATTTGACTGAAGGAAACACAGGTTTACTCCTCAGACCATTGCTTTGCTTATCACCTGCACCTGAGGACCATCAGGGTCGGGTAGAGCCCTAAGACAACACGTCTGATCTTGGGAGCTAAGCCGGGTGGGATCTGGTTAGAACTCAGATGGGAGACAGCCTCGTGTCAAGGCTTCCGCAGGCTTCTGCATCTTAGCCCTACGGAAGCAGAGCAAACCGTGCTCACCTTGACTTTGAACCTGGTGTGCAGAAGCTTTTCAGAAAGAGGAAGGGGTAAGGGGCGGGGGGGGGGGGGGGGGAGAAACGCATCACCCCACTCTGCAAAGTGGAGGTGCGGGGGGCGGCAGTCTGTAGTCAGGGTTTGTCACCGGCTCTTAAGAGGCGACGGTGCTGTGCACAGTGTCTCAGTCTTGGTAGAGACCACTTTGCAAGCTCTGTTTTCACAAAAGTACAACAGTCTCTGATTTTATGCCCCTGCTCCATCTCAAGAAATACCCACAGGATGCGCTAGAGCTGCCCCTTCCGGGGCTTAGAGAGACCTTGGTCCCTGTCTGTCTCTCCATCTCTCTCTCTCTGTCTCTCTCTCTCTCTCACACACACACACACACACACACTTTGTCTAACCAAACCTGTTCTCATGCAGGAGTACTACTACCAACCAAAGAGAATTACACTTGGCAGGTGCTCTGTATTTGGTTAGCCTGCTACTGTTACAGGTCACCTGTTCCAGCCACCAACAGTTTTCTAACAGGAAAAACCGAATGCTGGGTCCTGTCGCCACAGTCAGCCCCACTTAGCAAGCTGTCGGTCTGTTTGATTAACCAGCCCAATACCCACCAACCACCAAAAAGTTAGATTCTTGATGTCCAGCATGCCAGCTCAGGAATTTCGGAAGGAAGGAAATGACACTGATTTTAAAAAGAAACTAAGCAGTGGCCTCTTTGGAGACGTCTCAGAAACTAAGGCAGCACTGGCCGCTCGCTCCTGCCCGCGGCCACCTTAGCGGCAGGGATCCGATTCTCACCGGGGCAGACCCGCTGCGGGCTCCGCGGGAGACCGGGGAGTGCGGCGACCACAGAGCCACCGGCACTGACAACTTCGCCTCAACAGCTCCGGGCGCGGGAGGCCAGGCTGCCTCCCGCACACAGGAAGCACGCGTGCGTGCACGCGAGCGAGCGCGTCTCGGTCCCGCAGACAGGAAAGCAAGGCGAGCCAAACTTTTCTTTTTAGAAATGGGCTTTTAGATAAAAGGCGGAAATCTTGATTGAGCACCGCGTAACGTCTTAGTGCACCGATCTAACCAACTTCTGGGCAGTGTATCATCTCCTCCCGTGCAATTAAAAAAAAAAAACAAAAAGGACGCATATTTCCAAAAGGAAACTCTTCAGCCAGGCCACTCTCTCACACACTAAAGCAAACACTAAGGACAGCGAGTACCGGGAGGAGGAGCAGAAGCAGTTAATGACAAAGCAAACTCCGGGTTCCCCCGGGACGCCAAGCCTGCGCAGGTGACCGGGACGACACAGCCCCCGGGCTCCGGGCCTGGGCCGCCGCGCGCCCCGCGCGTCTTAAGTGCCCGGGCAAGAAGAGGATCCCGCTTCCAGCAAACCCAGGACGTAAGCGAGGGAGGGAGGAGGCTCCCGCATCTTCCCGGCCCCGGAGTCGGTGCGGCACGCGCCATCGGAGAAGCGCAGGAGCTCGCCAGGCGACCCGGTTCCCTGTCCCGGGCCCCGGCCGGACGGGTGGGTCCCCCGCCACCCCCAGCGCAGCCACCCCCCTCTAGCTCTCTGCTCCCCGGAGCTGGCGCGGAGAGCGCAGCCCGGCAGGAGGGGCGCGCCTCCTCGGGACGTGGGCGACGCGGATCCCGGTGGGGTGGGGGTGCGGGGGTCGCGGGGCGCACTCACGGGGACCAGCAGCCAGCCGCAGCAGGTCAGCAGCGCGGGCGCCCTCATCCCGGGCTCAGCGCGCCGGGGGCCGCCCAGCGCCCGCCGCCTCCGTCCCGAGCGCCTGCGGCTCCGCGGACTCCACCATGGGCCGGGCCGAGCGCGCAGTGGCGGTGGCGGCGGCGGTGGCGGCGACTCCCTGGCCGGCGCCCGGGGCTCAGACGGTCCGTGCACGGCGCGCCCAGCAGCGGCTGCCCGGCGGCCGGAGCGCGTGGGCCGGACCCCTCCGTCCTCGCTCGGAGCGCGCTCGCCTCTCTCCCGCAGGTCCCGGCTGCGCCCCGCCCTCTCGCCCCCTGTCCCCGCCCCGCGCGTCCCCCTCGCCCCTCGCGGCTCCCTCCGCCCTCTCGCTCGCGCTCCTCCGCCCGGCGCCCTCCCTCCCTCTCCTTGGAGCCCGCCCGGTGCTGGCCCCCCCACCCCCCCGGCCTCGTTCTCTGCGCGACCCCTTCTCTCCTCCTTCTCTGCTCAGGCGCCCCCGTCTCCCCCAGCTTCCCGCATCCCTTGGCCCCCTGACCCCTGCCTCCCTCCCCACTCTGGGCCCCTGCGCGCCCCCTCCTAGCCCTTGTCTCCCACACTCTCAAGTGTTGGTAGGAGCAGGTGAGCGGGGGTGGGCGAAGGGCTTGCCCGACTCGCACTGAGAATTCGAGGGCAGACGCAAGGTGTGCGCCGACCTTGGAAGTGCACGCGCCAGGTTTGGGGCACCTGCGCCTTCCTTCCTAAGTGATTCGCTGAAGGCGCCCGAGAAAGCGGTCAGAAACCCTTGGCTGGGGCGTGGGGAGCTGCCTCGGTAGCCAATGGGGTGGTGTTGGCTTGGGTGGCACTAAGAATTAAGGAGTGCGTGCTGGGGCAGGCGGACTGGGCACCGCCTCGCGGAGGGGTTCGGTTGGACAGAAAGACGCGGGGTTCGCACGCGCTGGGCCCCGCGAAGGTACTGGAAGAAGGCCATTTGCATCGCCGGACTCAGTGGCTGGCTGGGTCCTGGGTCAGGACCCCGCCGCGCGCCCCAGGCGCCCAGCGCCGCCTGCAGAAGGCAGGGACAGAGGCGCTTGCGGGTCTGAAGCCCCCTGGGTGACTCTGTGCCCAGGACTCCTGCCTGAGAGCTGGTGGTTATGGACCAAGCCGAAAAGCCCTTCGAATGAGAAACACGGCAGGTCAGTGTCTGCTGTTACAGCTCTACATGGCTGTTGCATGTTGGCGAGGGAACCGGGAGTTAAAGATCCCTTGTCGCTCTGCCTTTGAAAGAACTTTAAACACACAGACACACACACACACACACACACACACACACACAGAGTCATAATAAGGGGCCTGTGGTGTAACTTGTTGGAGTCCTGGCTGCTCCTCTTCCGATCCAGCTCCCTGCTAATGGCCTGGGAGAGCAGCATAGGCTGGCCCAGGTGCCTGGGCCCCTGCACCGGCATGGGAGACCTGGGGGAAGCTCCTGGCTCCTGGCTTTGGCCTGAGCAGCAGCCATTCATGGAGGGGTCCAGCGGATGGAAGACATCTCTGTCTGTCCCTCCCCGACCCTCTCCCAGTAACTGTATATTTCAAATACATAAACAATTAAAAATAAAAATGACTTCAAACTTACACGGAAGTTAAAAGAATAAATACAAAGAACCCCATTTTGCTGTGTGTCTAGACCCGGTCGTTAACGTTTCCACACGCTGTCGATGGCCTTGCTCCCAGCCTCCTGCTCCTCTCAGGATGGATTCCTGTACCCATGCATCATCTCTGTGTGTCTACCTGCCATCCGCCTCTCTCACCCCCAGGCACCCGCGTGTTCTCTGATGGAGAACTGGTTGTCAGGTGTGCAGCCGTGGACTTTGATGAATAAGCCCTTTCCACACTGTCCTACCCTGGGGTCAGCCCCTGGGCTGCAGGTTGTCTGAGCCCCTGCCCCACAGAGGCGCTGGGAGAGCCGGGGTTCTCGGGGTGCAGTGAGCACTTAGCTGATGCCTGCAGTGTGCACAGCACCACCTGGGTGCAGTGAGGTGGGACGATGTGTGTGTCTCTCCCCTCCAGGTGCTCGTGGCGCAGTGTGTGAGCACGTGACCTGGGACATGACTGTGATGTCCCTAGCTACAGGCAGACAGAGACAGGAGCAGTGATTCATTTCAAGGGAGGGCCTTGGGGGACAGAAGGTGCGGATGTGCCAGGAGGAATGACTGGGAGTGGAAACCTCAGCCCAGGCACCTTGGACAGACACGAGCAGCAGGACATGTGGCGAGAGCAGAGGCCTGAGGCCCTGCAGGTCCTGGGGGGCAGAGAGTCGGAGCAGCTCTGGCATCGGCTGTGCCACACCGCATTATCGGGCACACACAAAGCGTCTTCCGTCCCCACTGTTGCCACCTCTGTTTGGAATCCCTGTGTTGAGGTGAGTGGGGCACATATTTTTAAAAAGATTTTGTTTAGTTGAAAGGCAGGAGAGAGAGAGAGACAGAGAGAAGGAGATCTTCTATCTGCCAGTTCATTCCCCAAATGACCACAACGGAAGCCAGGAGCCAGGAACTCCATCCAGGTTCCATAGTGGGTGGCAGGGACCCAAGCACGTGGCCATTATCTGCTGCTTTTCCAGCGCAGTAGCAGGGAGCTGGATGGGAAGTGGAGAAGCCGAGACTTGAACCTGCGCTTGTGTGGGATGCTGGTGTCACAGGCAGCGGCTTAACCTGCTGCGCCCCAGTGTCTGCCCCGTGTGCTGGCTCCTGTGGGGAATGCCCCCACTTCCAGGGCTTTTCTGCACTTCCTCCTCCTGAGCCAAATGACCTCTTCAGGGCAGATGGGCTCCGCGCCTTCCGCAGCCTCTGCTGGTGGCTGGCGGCCAGGAGCCTTGCTGGGCACTGCTAAGGTGACTCTGTGCTGTGCTCACCTGCCCAGCTGCGGCCAGGTCCTAGCCCTGGGTTCTGCCTCCCCCTCCCACGCAGGTTCCCTGACCACACCTGCACCGGCTCCTCACCTGCCTGTGTCTGGGTTCATACCCTGTGGTCTGCAGGTGCCCTGTGTCCCTTGCACCTCCCATGCCTGTGAATGTCCGGGATTTTGCAGGCTGCACTCTGAACGGGAGAAACCACATCTCTATGGATGGGTATGTGTTGTCCGCATGGAGCAGACGCCTAGATGTCTAGTGACGCATTAAGGGGAGCCTGGGGTGTTCCTTGTCGGGACAGTGACACTGTGCTGATACTTCATACTCCTCTGGAAGCGGAAGCCTCTTCTAACCTCCTTGCCCCTTCCAGATAAGCAGTTTGGGTTCTGGAGCCTGACACCCTGGGGAGAACGCAGTGGCCTTGGGCCATGCCCAACACCCCGCAAGCCGTTGTCACTGAATCCCTCTTTTTGTCTTTGGCGAGCCTGAATGTTAGACTTAGATAACAAATTTATTTTCCCTAACCCCTAATGAAAGCTCGGGATATTGGAGTCAGTGTATTTTATTTTAACATTTATTCATTTGAAAGTCAGAATTGAGAGAGAGTGAGAGAGCAAGAGAGAGACCTTCTGTAGGATGGTTCACTCCCCAGATGGCCCCAGTGACCAGCAGGGGGCCAGACAGAAGCCAGGACCCAGGAGCTTCATCCATCTCCCATTTGGGTGGCAGGGGCCCACACACTTGGGTCATCTGCTGCTGCTTTCCCAGGCCATCAGCAGGGAGCTGGATTGGAAATGCAACAGCCGGGACATGAACTGGCCCCCATATGGGATGCCAGCCTCGCCAGCAGTGGCTTTACCCACTAGGCCAGTTTTAATTCCTTTCCCCATCCCAGCTGCATCCATCAGGGGACTCAGCAGGTGGCTGGGGAGTTGTTGATGGCGGCGTGCGGCCTTTCTGAGCCTGTGCCCTGGTTGTGGGCCCCGTGGAGGCTGTCACATGACACAGTGTTAGCTCGCAGGCTGTGTGCGTGGCCTCTTCCATTAGACACAGGGCATGAGACGCTGTCACAAGACGTGTGACGCGCTCCTCTGGGGATGTGCGCCATCCAGGTGGATGCAGACCGTGGCCCAGGGCTCCTTCTCGGGACAGGTGGCTATGTCTGCGGGGTGCAGTTTCCATCCCCAACCCCCCCACCCCCCGCCGAATTCCCACCATAATCGACACTCGAGTGATCCAACCTACTTAGGGTGTGTTCTGTACATGCTGGTGAGCGTCTCTTTCCCAGATGCAGGAAAGCTCAGTGCATGTGATTCTGCAGCTGTCAGTCCTGCCTCAGGCCTTGAACCTGCCACAAGGAGCTGTGTCCTGATGGAGGGGTGGGGGTGGGGAGTCTTCCCCATCTCTGTTTCACCCCTGCGCCCCTGCTGGCTGTCCTGGGCCCCCCAGGTCACAGGGAGCATGGAAAGGGTGATGGGCTGTATTTGTGGGCACACAGCAGAGGCGCCATGGCATGACAGGTTCTGAGTGGTGCCTTGGTGCGTTCTGCCGGTCTCTCTGGACTCTGCACCGCTGAAGACCTCCCATTACAGGCCCCTAGATGCAGGAGTTCCCCTCTGAATGGGCCCTTGTCAAGTCTGTGGCCTCTCCTTCTCGAGGGAGGCTGCTGCTTGCTAACTGGGCTCTGCAGGCATGGGGGGGGGGGAGGGCTCCCGGCCAGCTGCACCCTGTCACCTGTGGGGCCTCTCAGGGTGAGACTGATGCCATTCCTGCCTCCCCCCACATGATGGATCTTGAGGTGGCTTCCCTTGGCGTGAGGGAGGGAGCAGCATCACCCCAACCTCCCCCATGGCAGGAGTGGGGGGGGGGAGGGAAACAAATGGATAGCTTCTTGCAAAGCACACTTGTAGCACCTTGGAGGCCAGCCTGGAGGAGGGTCCTGGGCTGACACTCGCAGACCACGTTGGGGTCACTCTCCTTACAGGCTCTCTGTCACGGGCTAGCACCTCACTCTGGCATGATTGTGATGTGTTGCTACACTGTTGCCAACATTATTAAGTAACTTTTGTCGTTTGTTACTGGGGTGTACTCCTGATGTCCATTCTGTGGGTTTGGACAGACGTGCGACATGAATTCCTCATTGTACCACGAATCCTTTGGGGAAATGCCAAGAGTGAGACTGACTGCCGGATCATGTGGCAAGAGCGTGTTTTGTTTGGAAAACTCTACCTACAGTATTCTAGAGTGGCTGTACCCTTCGGCGTTCCAGCCAGCAATGAATGAGAACACCTGTTGCTCCACGGCCTCACAGCACTTGGCCTTGTCATTGTTCTGAATTTTGGCCCGTCTAGTAGGTGCGCACTGACATCTCTCTGTTCTAATTTGCGGTTCTCTGGTGACACAT